TCCAGATGGTTCTGATGGTTCTGTGTCTTTACTCCCTGCCTTCTGAGCTCCGTAGGTACGGTGTGGATGCAGCAGATCCTGGTCCAGATCATGGACGCAGCTCACCCTGAACAGGCAGAAGATCTGACCAACAGGACACGGGTTCCTTGGCTGGAGGAACAGCTCATCGACCAACCGTTCCGAGATCGTCCCGACCCCCGGATATTCGGCTCACACCTTCCTCCAGATATGTTGCCGTGTGACGTCCAAAAGAAGAGAGTGAAGGTGCTTCAAACTTTCTTTCTTTCTAGTCCAAAAACCCGGCACTACCCACCTCCACCTCTCCCATGCCCCAGGTCGTCTACGTCTGGAGGAACCCCAAGGACGTGCTGGTGTCGGCGTATCATTTTGCTCAAAGTTGGGTCCTGTTAAAACCACCGACGAGCTTTGAAGAATTCTTTCAGCAGTTCCTGGATGGTGATGGTACGTTCAGATGATTGATGAGAACTGCATGTACTGTTGAAGTAGCACGTAGTACTTGTACTTGTAAGATCAATTGCAGTAATCCTGGAAAATTAGGAGGTAAAGCTAATTTAAGGCCTGCCCTTTGTCGTATCATCTCTACTGCTTATCTTCTAGATCTTAAACCTGTTACCTATCAGTCAAGCTTTTATTTTTTCACGTCACCCTAGTTCTTTGAACTGTCCAGTGTTGTCTTTGATCTCACTGGGCCTGAAGTTCTCTCTCATTATCTCAAGTGACCTTTGTTACTGATCTTGGCGTCAAGGTCTGACCCCTGGTGAGTTTGTCTGGAACACAGTGCCTCCTAGTGGTCTGTCATGACTCTAGCGACTAGTAAAAAAGAAGCAGCAAACTGCAAACCTACTCTGTGTGATTATAGAGTCAGGATTTGATTTTAGGAGAAAAATCAATTTGTTATGATGTAATAAAAATATTGAATTTTGTTTTTTATTATTTTAAATAATAATAATTTTCTTTCTTGTCTGGTTCCCTCCCTCACAGTTTACATGGGCTCGTGGTTCCATCATGTGAGAGAATATTTTGAAGCTCGTGAACATCTGGACATTCACTTTGTTCAGTATGAAGACATGTTGAAGGTCAACAATCTTCTCTCCTTGTTACAACACAACAACATTGATGTGAAAAAAAATCACATTTATTCCTAAACCTTCACATCTGTCACTTTGGTCGACAGGACCTGAGAGGAGAGGTGGAGAAACTGTGTCTGTTCCTGGGACAGTCTTTAACAGAGGAGCAGATGGACAGAGTGGTGGAGACCTCCACCTTCAACAACATGAAGGTCAACCCTAAGGCCAACTACAAGGATCTGGTGGAGAAGGAACGCTACTCCAAGAACACCATGCGCAAAGGTTTGTTCCTCACAGGTTTCACACCCGTTTGTTTCCGTACCATTTTCTGATATGTTTGGTCAACAGCCAAGGTGAAAGTTCATGACCTTTGACCCAGTCGTGCGTGTCTGTGTCCGTACAGGTGTAGCAGGCGACTGGAAGAATCACTTCACAGTCGCTCAGAATGAACGCTTCGATCAGGTTTTCAAGGAGAAGATGAGAGACGTCTCTCTAAGCTGCAGCTGGGAGTACAATCAACCAGTCTGATCAATCAACCAGTCTGATCAATCAATCAATTAATCAATAAATCAATTTTTTTTCTCATTGGTTTGTTTTTTTTTAATTTTTTGAGTTTCTTTTACCATTTTAAACTGGAGTCCAGTGATTTCACACCGCCCTCTGCTGGTTCACAGATTAAATGTGAAAAATAAAGTAGAAACAGGAAGTCAAAAGTTGTTCTTCAACACAAAGTTACATTTTTATATTTAACTACAACACCTTTTCATTACATTTCAGTTTTGTTCAGTTTATTCATTGTAATGATAAAAGTACTGCAAAAAAAAGTGTCTTAGCGTAAATAATACAGTGACCTGCAGAGGGCAGTGTAGCGACAGGGCCGCTGCTTCTGTCCAATGGAGGTAACAGGACGTTTGTCCAGCCCACTTCTGTCTTCACACGCTGTCCTCCAGAACTTCATGTAGACTTTCTCCTCGGTTCCTCATCTTCCTCCTTTGGGAGAACATAAGAAGGGGAGTTACAGCGGAAGTGGTTGTGATTGACAGCTGCACCGTCCAATACAAGTCTGTCAGGAGGTGAGGTCTGTTACCTTGTTGTTTGTAAAAACCTGACTGGTAGGCCACAAAACCACAGATATTTTCCTAACTTGGCAGCTGGTGTGTGACAGTTTCTCTCCTTCTTCTCCTCCTCGTCCTTTTCCCTCTCTCTTTTCATCCTTCTCACATGTTGTCTCCTGGTTTTCACTTTTACCTTGTAAGAAACAAAGGCGTTGTTTTATTTTCACCGTTTCCTTTTCTTCCCCCTCACTTCTTCTACAGTGCCGGAAGTACTTGTCTTTCTTTTAATTTTTTTGTGGTTTCTATTCTATTCTTTGAATTTCATCACAAACGACTGAAACTTGACGACATTGAATCAGGTTTTGTTGTTAATAAAACTGACCACAAACACATTTTAATTATTACTTTAAATAAGTACGCTGTCGTTTTCGCCTGCTGAGGAAGTACGAGTTATTCACCACCAAGTGGTGCCAAAACACTCATTTTTAAAAATATGATTCATTTTCTATACAAAAGTGATAATAGAAACACGTTTAGAAAAACTGCTGCTTTTGTTTTAAATCTGTTTTGTGTGAACGTCCTGCTGTTGTTGTTTATGTAGGAAACAAACTGTGAATCACTGTCAGTGTGGGAGCAGAGAGAGCAGCGGCCCCTTTAAGAAAACAGGTGTGTCCTTCGTCATAGGCAGGTAACGTATGACAAACAGGAAGTGACTTCAACAACAGAGAGGAGTGTGAACAAAGATGGACATGAAGGAAGAAGAGAAAGAGTTTGGTGAGTTAAAAGTGTGTGTATGTGTGTGTGTGTGTGTGTGCGCACGCGCGTCCGTGTGTGTAATATTATGAACACGATACAAATGTTCTTCTGCAGATCGTCCTGACTAAAGAAATGAGGAAACCTTTGAAGCTCGTCAGTGTGTGTTTGACAGCAGGTAACACACACACACACACACACACACACAAAGACACACACTTTTCTTTAGAACAACTATTGGTTCTAAACCAGTGTCGCTGCATTCCATTTCTTTAAGTGCGCCGACCGTTGACTCATTGATGATGCGTTCACTGACTCCGCCCACTCCAATGTCAATATGCTTGAAATGTTTAAACACTTCTTCCCGCTCTTATTACTAAGAGTGTTAACTTAAAAACAAACAAACAAACAAAAATAAAATAACCCAGTGTGGAGTCTTAAAAAATATCATTAACAGACATTTTATTCTTCTGGATGATAGTGACCATAGTGGATGATAGAAAATACAGCCACTAGGTGTCTCTGTTCTCTCAAGAAAGTCTAAGATAACACAGCCTGACCACAGGAGGCAGCAGTGGATCAGTAGCTGAGTATTAAGTAAAAGAGAAATTTAAAAAAATTCACTTTTTAACCTGTTCTTTTATCCTTCTGCTCTGCAGCCCTCTTCTGGTCGAACTTGGTAATGTCTCAGGACCCGGTGCCAGTCCAGTTCCAGAAAGATCCAGTCCTGGTCCAAACGGGCACAGAAATCGTGTTCACAGTTATAACAGTTCCTCAGGTTCTTTCTATGACATGGCAGTACCAGGGAGACGTGACTCTGGGCATCTGGACCGGGGGCAATTCAGTCATCGATCCGGTTCCTCAGTTCGAAGGCAGGGTCACCCTTAGGGCCAACCAGCTCCGAATCGGAGGGGCCCAGCTCCGAGATGCAGGGAACTACTCCGTGGTGGTCATTCCCAATTTTTCCACAGGTCTGATTCAGAACAGCAGGTCCATTCAGCTCCGAGTGTTTGGTAAGATAATGTTCAGAGAACACGTTCAGTCTGATGATAGAATTTTTCAGATTTTTTTTTTTAAAGTGAGGTTGTATGGAGAGGTGACACTCGCTCGACCAACGTTGTTGATCCACTGCCACCTCCAGCACTCAGTTCAAATGTGTTTATTTTGTGACATCACCATTTATATTTATTTGTTCAGATTTACTAAGTGATGAAAACTGACCACAGGAGGCAGCGGTGAACCAGCAGCGTCTGTGTCTCTGAGTTTAAATCACTTCTTTTTTTTTCCTCCATGGACTTTGTCAAGCAGATTTGAATGATATCAGAGGCAACTAAAAGCAACTTCCAAATTAGCTGTCACTTTTCCTGTGACATGATGATGAAAACTAAAAAATGATGAAAACTAAAAAATAAATCCTACTTTTAGAATGATTATTCAAAATGCATTCTTTTGTTTTTTTATGACCCAACACAGCGCCCCCTGCAGAGCCAGAGTGATGAGTACAGACCTTCCATACATTTATTTATTTTTTTTGTCTTTACACAGATGCTGTGGGCGGAGTCAGTGTGCAGGTGCCCCTGGTGGCGATGGAAAGTAAAAATGTCTCACTGAAGTGTGTTTGGACAGCAGGCACAGAGACAATGGTTCAGTGGAAAAAAGGGGGCGCTGCCGTCCTCCCTGACTCCAGGATTACCATAACAGACGAGGGTGATCTGGTCATTAACCCGGGACAACGCGCCGATACTGGAGATTACATCTGCACCGTCAGCAACCTGGTCAGCGCCCAGAGCGCCACCAAGACTCTGACGGTCTACTGTAAGTCCAGCAGAATCCGGTCCAGTTTGGCTCCCTGCTACGTTGACTGTGATGAGAACAAGTTAAGAAGCCAAGAGAGAACCAAAAATTAGCCCAAAAATTAGCTAAAGCATGTAGCTGTGACTTAGCCTGAAGTGAATTTTAGTTAAAAGAAAAAACAACTAAATATGACCTAAAATCATCTAAAAAATGTAATTATTTAAATACACTAAAAACAGGAAGGTGTCATGTGATTTTGTTATGATTCTAGATGGTCCCGATGATCCAGTTCTGACCAAAGACTCACCCAAGGACTGTGTGGGCGATGGAGACGTCCAGGTAGGAGAGCGCATCCGTCTGACGTGCATGTCCGACTCTCTGCCCCCCGCTCTCTTCTCCTGGCAGCGGGATGGACAGACGCTGGTGTCCGATCAACCGGACAGCGGCGTCCTCCATGTGCAGACGTTTTCCACAGATGAGAGCGGACGCTACGTCTGTACGGCCAGAAACGGCATCACCCAGGGGACGTCGGAGCAGGACACTGTCCTCACTGTCGTTGGTGGGTAAATAGCTTAATGCTAATGCTGATGCTAAGCCCAGTCCGGTCAGCCCCGACTTCAGCTCTTCTTGGACCTTTAGTAAATGACATTCTGCTGATTTTGTCCTTTTTCAGTGTTTTTTTTCCATCTTGACTATTAATTTTCTTTATCATCTTGTTTAATATTTATAGCTATCTCTTTTTTTATTATTCCTATGCTGGAAACATAGTCAGTTCCTGGTACTGTTCTTTTTGTTCACCGTTCAGATAAATTGGTTGATGAAGAATCATCCTTGATTTTTCTTTTTCTGCTCCAAACATAACAGACTTTTTGTAATTCTTCTCCTCTTTTTTTTTTTTCCAGAAACCTGTCTGAATGGAGGTGAAGTGGCAGGGATTGTGATCGCTGCCCTGGTGCTGATCCTCATCATCGCTCTCCTCGTCACACTCATCGTTTTCCTGGTTCGGAGGAGGAGCAGGAGGAATGGTAGCAGGAGCAGCTCTTTGTTTCTTTGAAACCTCAGGTTCCAGCTCTGAACTCTGTTTTTTTGTCCTGTGTTGCTGCAGAACCAAAGCCTGGAGCTGGAGTAAGAAGTTCTGACCCGGAGTCAATGCTGCTCAGTGTCGGAGGAAAAATATAAAAAAAGGATTTTCTTCACTCTACTGAAAATCAAAAAAAGAAATTGCAGTATTAACTTAAAAACTTGTTTCTAATTATAAGAAAATCCTTTTTATTACATTTTTCTACTTTTTGTCCCTTCAGCTTTGCCTTCTTTCATTAAACTTTAATCTTTGCTGTTTTTTCTCTCTTTCTCTTTTTCTTAGTCTTTAGTTGTTCCTCTTTCATACAGGTTGGTAATGTCTCACAGGTGCATCAACTGTTGATCTTATAGCTTTGTCTTGTTGAGTGTTCTTGCCACTGGGGGGTGCTCTCAGCTCAGTCTGTACTAACTGTGTTTCAGTACAACCTTCTCAGTTTGTCTGTGTTCGTCTTTTAGCCTCCAGGTCGTCAACCTAACGGTACCAGGATCTTGGACCAGGGTCTAAATCCTCCGCTTCATTCCACGACCACCCCAGCTGGACGTCACTCGTACGACCGCCCGCCTCAGAACCAGCAGATGCTGCAGCTGACCAGCCTGAGCCACCCGCACACACCGGTGCACCCTCTGGGTGGCGGTGTTGACAACCCCGCATTCACACACACACACCAGCTGCAAAACACACATCAGCAGCCGGACTCACTCGCTCACCTACAGTCCACGGGGAACGCCCAGAGCCGGAGTCTGCAGCAGGTGCAGGCGCCACCGGCCGCGGTCCAGCTCAGCCTCAACACACCTCCACAAACGGCTCCGCCCAACAACAGCAACAACCAACAAATGCCAACGATCAACGTCAACCTCAACTCCTTTCCCTCCATCGCTCCTCAGACACAGGACCCTTCCTTCGCTCCTAACAATCAACAAACACAACGAATCCTGCAGGATATTCCCCAGGGGCCGTCCCACCCCGGAGATCCTGGACCGACTGGACCCAGGGGCAGAGGTCAGCCTGGACTCATACCCACTGGGTACACACACTTTAACGACAGTGTCGTTCTGCAGAATGCCGTCACACAGACCTATGAGCAGGACTCTCCTGGAAACCGGCGTTCCAGCAGGGGGGGCTTTGAGGAGCCCTCCAGTTCCACCCTCAGACAGATGCCATGGGATCTCCTCAGAGGAACGCCATCGTACCCCAGCGAGACCCTTCAAAGACGACAGTTACCTCCAGAGGTCCCCTCAGAAAGCTCGGACTACACCGCCCGTCCTGCACCACAAAGAAGAAGATCCCAGTCCAGAACTCGTGACAGATCAAGGAGTCCGGGCGCTGCAGCCACACAAAATCGCCACGATCGAGGTCACAGCACGAACGTTCGTGTTGAAACGCAGTCAGAGGTTTTAAGAAGTTCACGCACAGATGGTCCAAATGATCAGCAGGACCTCAGACGGCCGTCTCGTGGACTCGTAGTACCGAAACTGGAACCCGCTCGCAGCCAGAGCCGCCCTCCAACCAGTCATCAGGTCACATCACAGGGACCGACTGGACGAGGACATACAGATACACGAGCACTGGTGGATCCCAATCACCTTCCTCAGACGCTGCAGAATCAGAACCATCAACAGGTGGAGTCTGTACCACTCACTACTGGTACCGCTCCTCCGACTGGAACCAGCGCAGCTCATCATGGTCCTACTCGGCCTGTCTCCAATAACCTGACCCCGGCCGCCCTTAAAGCCCACACTGACAGGGCTCGGATTTTTCCGAGTCGGAGACAACAGACCCAGGCCTCTCTGCTCAGTCCAGGAGCACAGACTCGAACCCCCGCCCCTGTCGCTGCAGCTCCAGGTGCAGGGCCTCAGCGACCTCCGACCCCACCACCAGTCGTGCCTTTCTCACACTTTCAACATCTTCCTAAAGAACGAACTCGACACCTGTCCCCGACTCGAGCCCCTGCGGCCCCCAGACCTCCGGTCAACGTCCCCCTCAGTCAACGGAACCTTCAGGTCCAACGGCAGCGGCAGCAAGGCAACGCGCCACAGAACCATCAGCACCACCGTCGTCACCCTGCTGGTCACGTGCACGTCAGTCCGCAAAGGCACGGCCACGCTCATCCTCATCACCAGGGTGACAGACGCCCCGCCCACTTTTCCAGTCCCCGACAGGTGAACTTTTCTAAGCTTAAAAACGTACTGTTAGTTCATTTTATTGTTTCATTATTGTTAAGATATATATATATATTTTTTTTGTTATGAACTTGATTATTTTCTCATTTGTAGCTTCAAAGTTCAACGTTAATACATTTATACGTTTATTAAACTTACTTTCAGGCTGTGTGGCCAACAGTTCCCGCCTTTTCTGACTTTTTAATATTTTGCGGCTCTGTCCTCACAGCCACACGTCCACAGAGGGAGGCCCAGATGACGACGGACGGGCGTCTGGCCAATCCGACTTCATCATCCAGAGAAACCAACTAACTGCTGACAGATGCCCCCTGCTGGTCCCACTGGTCAATCATAAGGTCCAGTTTTGAGAAAAATAAGGTACATATATTTATGAACACATGCATGTATATGTATGTATATATATATATATATATGTATATACAGTATGTGTATATATGTACTGTATGTACTTTCATCAGCAAAAATGATTTCTTCTTCTTCTCATTTACACTAATTTCATAAATGTGGTGGTGGACCGGCTACTGTTACAGTAAGTCATACAGTGAGATTATCATGTTATTAATTATCACAACTGCTGATGGTAATAGAACCCCAGTCAGGTACTGAGATGTTCTTGTATTTATGTGATACATTTATTTTCAGAGATAATACAAATGATTAAAAAAAAAAAAAAATCAAACGTGTAAATTAATGTAAATACTGTAAAATGTTGGGTTTTTAAAAATGCAGGGACAATAAATAAATGTATATGAAACTTTCATCTGAGTCTTAAAGGTCCTGATTTGGCCGAACATGAGTGAGTAACAATGTCTGAGAAGAACAACTTTATTTTTTACTGTGAGCAGAACCTGGAGAAACAGAAGGAAGAGAAGTTTAAATACGGTCGGCCCCAAGATGTACAACGGAACTGTTTATTGATCATCTATTGACTGGTGATTGATTGTCAGATTTTCACTTTCAGGAACTTTTCACCGATTTAACATTGGACACAGTCAAATGAATAATGTTATGCTCACGAACCAAAGTCCGTGGAGAATATCAGTGATTTTAACTCGCAACCTAAAGTCTTTAGGTTCCTGTGACTGTTTCTTGACTTCCACTGACACTTTCAGAAATCACTTCCTCTTTGTCTAACAAACAGGAAGCCAAAGGTCTATTTATATATTTACAGAATTTATAGGTACTGAAACGTCTGATCAGTCACGTCGACTTTAATGAAACACACACTTACACACGTCTAAACACAAACTGTGGTTCTGTTTTAAACATCCTTTTATGGTTGTGAAAGGTGACGGAGGAGGAGGTTGATGATTTTGGTCTGAAAAAGCACCACAAAAAAAACCAACAAATCTCTAATGTTATTTATTTTCACTATTTATTTAGTTATTGAGAAAGGTGAAAAAATTCCTCAGGTTGACGGTGTTTGTCTGAGGACATATTAATTCAGTCTTAAAATAATGGTTTTTAACACAGTATTGTTGTTCACAGCATGGCAAATCCACATTATTTATAATGAATATTAATTTGACAAACAGACCTTTATGTCTTCTGTCCTTTTGGTCATTTAGTTTACTTTATGTAAGATTACGTAAGACATTTTTATTCAGAATATATTTTGAAGTTAGTTTTATAGTTTTTACAATATATTACTGAACATTGTTTGAAAAAACCTGCTGAGTATCAGCTAGCTATCAAACCACTGCTTCACCAAAAGGCATTTCTTTTTAAATATGACCAAAAATTGTGGCCGGTCCGTGTTCTGTAGGTTTTCACACTGCCTGGTGTGACTGCGGTTGGGAAAACCCACAGTTCCCTCTTCATAGACATCACTGTTCTGTTGTAATGTTGTTCTTCTCTGTGTTCAGTTTTCAGAAGTTTTTTTTTACAAAAGATTTGGTCACAAAATTTCCCCAGCAGCTTCTATTTGATAATCTACAAATTTGTGTTTGCCACAAAACCATAATTTCCGACCTAGTTGTGTATCATAGTTCCCGTACGTTTTGGTCTGTGAACTACAGTCAGTGCGGAGTAAACAATCAGCAGATTATATAAAAATCATCGGTAAAACTATATAAGAAAACGTACTGTAGCGACTTGTTCAAGTGAAATGATACTCACTGTATCGTTGAAGGGTTAAATCAACGTTATTTGAGCCACTGTATCGTTGAAGGGTTAAATCAACATTTGAGGTAAACTGACACATACATCTTTTTACTCATGGTGCAGCGTTTCAACACATATTATCAATAACCCCAAACAACGGAACTGTGTTAAACATGATCACAAAATTACAACAATTTCACACATCGTTCCCCTCACAACAACACCCACAAAACACTTTCCCATTACCCATAAGTCCAAGCCACGGGTGCGCTACAAAATGGACTTTGGTGGCAACATTTCCTTCCGCAAATTGCCAAGTGTTACTTTTATTAATTTATTTTTGGCTAATCTCCAGCTGTTTCTAATCTCACTTTTGGGTTACTTTTTTGACAGTTTAGCTAACCCTTTGCTAATGCGGTCCAGTCAGGATTCTTTGGGGTGTTTAATGTTTGACTGTTTTCCTTTTAGCATTGGTCTATATACCTTGCTAACTTCGGTTCTATAGTGTATGACCAGGTCTTAGCCTCTTCAGAGCTAAAGTATACCTTTGCTATTCTTTACATATTGGCAGTGTTTTTCTCCTAATTAGCCTTTTTCATTATTTTCACTTCATATTCTCGGGGGTTTTCCTGTGATTTCTCAGTTAGTGAATGTTTACCTGAACTTATTAAATCAGTCTTCAGTGAATAGAGCAGCAGCCGTCTGTCCCTTTTTATTCTTTTATGTGATGATTGTGTGCACAGTGTGTTCAAACAGCAGCGTCTGTTTGAAGAGAGAAATGTGATTTTGAAAAATTGGCCTTGGAAAAAAAAGTGATGAAAAAAGCTCAGAGATGCTAATGGTTTTTAGTTGCTGTTGTTCGATGCCAACAAAAACGAAATAAACTCTTTTTTGGTCTCTTGTTTGACACAAGTTCTGCAGAGGTGTGGTGTGCTGTGTCACAATGACAAGTACTTCATCGTTTGAAGAAGGTGTTGATATTAATCTATACTTTCAATATCAATCAATTTTCCAATCCTAATTGCTATTTTTATTGTTATCATAATTCAAAGAAATTGAATTCTTATTTCTGTTGTTATGCGTAACTCCCTAATCTCTAATATGGTGCAGTTACTTTTCATCACATCCTACTGAGATGAGCTCACGGATCCGGACTGAACAGGCTTCACTCAGAGTTTCATCACAGGGGGCGGTGGGGTTAGAAGATGATTTACTATTATTATTATTATTTATTTATTTATTTATTTATGATGAAAACAAAAGCACGATGGTGACGGGCAGTAACACACGTACACACACACACACATACTCGTACAAGTAAAAGTGAAAGTGACTTGAGGCAAAGTTTATTCTTTTAGTAACCAGTTTTTTAGTAGAGTTTTAGTAACCAACCAAATACAGATAAGGGAGAACAACATCCAAAAAAGGTGATAAACAGCATCAAGAGACGATGAGTGTTGTGAAAGATCCTTCAAGGGTTTGTTTCTGTCAGCTGAGCCAATAGAAACCTTCGTCTCTTCTTCCTGTGGGTTTTTGACAACCTGAATCTTCTGAAAGTTTTATCTATTAAAGAAACTAGAACATCCGACCACAGTGAACATCTAAACCACCGACAGCACCATGCAGGAGTGTCACACTGGCCTGTGTCTGTCCGTCTACGTGATCACCTTCATCCTGGGTTTACCTGCCAACGTTCTAGCTTTCTACACTTTCTGCAAAAAGGTCCGTGAGAAGCCTGCGCCCATCGACATCCTGCTTCTGAACCTGACCATTTCAGACCTACTGTTTCTGGTCTTCTTGCCGTTCAAGATGCAGGAGGTGATGAACAACGGCATCTGGCAGCTGCCCTATGTTCTCTGCCCTCTCTCAGGCTTCATTTTCTTCCTGACCATCTACAACAGCACCTTCTGCCTCACGGCCATCAGTGTAGAGAGGTACCTGGGTGTGGCTTTTCCTATACAGCACACACTGAAGCGCCGGCCTCTCTACGCTGTTGGAGCTAGCATCTTCTTCTGGATTTTCTCCATCCTTCACCTCAGCATCGTCTTCATTATGCCCCTCATTAGGGATAAAACGTCTCCAGAGAACCTGAGTCAAAACTCGTCTGTCACTACATCCACACAACCCAAACTTTGTTACGAGGACTTCACGGATGCTCAGCTAAAGGTCCTCCTCCCAGTGCGTCTGGAGCTCTGCATTGTCCTCTTCTGCATCCCACTCTTGATCTGCTGCTTCTGCTACATCAACTTTATCAGGATCCTGTCCCTCTGTTTCGGACCCTACAACGTGTCCCACATCGTGGGCTTCATCCAGTGGAAGAGTCCAAAGTGGAGAGACAAGGCTCTGTTGTGCAGCACCTTCAACGCCTGTCTGGATCCACTCATCTTCTACTTCTCCTCCTCGGCCATGAGGGGGAACGTGGCCGGCATCATAGCCCAGGTGAAGAGACGCCTCTGTGGCTGCACGTCCTGCGGTCCACTGGACCAGGTTCAAATGGACATGAATGACAGAAAAAGAAATAGCAAAGAAGAAGAGAGCAACACCAACTAAACAGGGAGTAGCGTCTCATATGAGAGAATTGGGTCCGTTGGACTTCCTGTCCACTTCCCAGCACACTTCCTGTTTGACTCCAATGTAATTTCTCTTCTGGAAACGGAAGAGACAATCTTTTTGCAATGAAATGATGTTTAAAAAATGTAAAAGTTTCATGTCAGGTCTTCTTTTAGCTAAAGCTTTCAAAACTTTCTGTGATACGTTTTGTGAAAAAACAGAAACCTTATCTTCCTTTTACAGTACATTTAGCTTTTTCTAAGCTAATTATGTTTGTGCTTTTAAAAACCTGTTTTTATAAAGGGTAAATATTAAAGGTAATGTCTATGTATTTCACCTTTTCTGTTTTTTAAATACGAGACCAAATAGTTTAGTTGGTTATATTTTGCCAACTCTTTAGCCTTAAGTTTGACTTTTGGAGTCATTTGTCCCACATGGACAAAGACACAGAACCTGTGCCTTAGTTACAGGAACCCATCTGTGACATTTGACTCTCAGGATTTAACAAAGTTTCTAAGCAATTATTTTCCAGTACAGATTAAATAGCAGTAGCCTGGAGGATTTAAAGGTGTAGTTCACAGAGTTTTTCCTCCTGGACCTGAAATATCATCATTGAACAAAGAGAAAAGTGTTGGTGGTGATGGACCAACATCTGAATTTATTAGAAAGAGGAAAAAAAGGAAAATGTTCAAACTGTGGAACCACCAGAGCGATAAAGCAGGAAGTGAGGTTGCTCAAAAGTGGAGACACTTCTTCTTCTGTGTTGTCACATTCTTCTGAGGTAAAAAAAAAAACCTCTCCTCCTGTTGCTTTGTCGCCATGGTATAAGAGACGACCTTTGATATTGAACAGGCGTCAGTCGAACTCACAGCTGCTCCATCACAGCCGGGGTAGGAAAAAGATGTACTATTATTATTATGATTGTTATTACTACTATTGTTATTATTATGTTGTGATTATTATTATTATTATTATTATTATTATTATTATTATTATCATTATTATCATCACATGCAACCACATACACAGGAGTAAAAGTAACTTGTGGCAGAGATTGTTCCTGGAGTTTTATAGTTAACTTCATCTGAGCAGTCATTAAAGGAGCAGTTATGTTTTTTTGAAATTAGGTTTTATGTTATTCTACAGAGTCAGTAATTAACCAGAGACAGAGAAGAAAAACAGCTCCATAGAAGGTTGAACCGGTGATGAATTGTTTAAGTTCTCGTCTTTATTTGAATATCAAACGGGAACTTGAGAGCCAACAGCACTAACTCTGCCACACCAGAAAAGTCTGTGTGGCTGAAAAAAAATCTTAACATATGACTTCAAACAATAAAGTTACAAAAGATCACATTTGAACTAAGTGACGACGACAGCAGTGAACCAACAGCTGCAGGGTTTGATTTGTTCTAAAGAACATCCAAGAAAAACAGATGTAAAAAGTGAATCTTTATGAACAAGTGTCAGATGGACACGAGGTTAAAACTGATGTTCTCTCTCTCTTCAATAGAATCCAATCTCTGGAGGAGACGATGAGTGTTGTCCTGGTGGTCAGGGACAGGAAAGCCACAGAGCATTCAAGGGTTTGTTTCTGTCAGCTGAGCCAATAGAAACCTTCGTCTCTTCTTCCTGTGGGTTTTTGACGACCTGAATCTTCTGAAAGTTTTATCTATTAAAGAAACTAGAACATCCGACCACAGTGAACATCTAAACCACCGACAGCACCATGCAGGAGTGTCACACTGGCCTGTGTCTGTCCGTCTACGTGATCACCTTCATCCTGGGTTTACCTGCCAACGTTCTAGCTTTCTACACTTTCTGCAAAAAGGTCCGTGAGAAGCCTGCGCCCATCGACATCCTGCTTCTGAACCTGACCATTTCAGACCTACTGTTTCTGGTCTTCTTGCCGTTCAAGATGCAGGAGGTGATGAACAACGGCATCTGGCAGCTGCCCTATGTTCTCTGCCCTCTCTCAGGCTTCATTTTCTTCCTGACCATCTACAACAGCACCTTCTGCCTCACGGCCATCAGTGTAGAGAGGTACCTGGGTGTGGCTTTTCCTATACAGCACACACTGAAGCGCCGGCCTCTCTACGCTGTTGGAGCTAGCATCTTCTTCTGGATTTTCTCCATCCTTCACCTCAGCATCGTCTTCATTATGCCCCTCATTAGGGATAAAACGTCTCCAGAGAACCTGAGTCAAAACTCGTCTGTCACTACATCCACACAACCCAAAGTTTGTTACGAGGACTTCACGGATGCTCAGCTAAAGGTCCTCCTCCCAGTGCGTCTGGAGCTCTGCATTGTCCTCTTCTGCATCCCACTCTTGATCTGCTGCTTCTGCTACATCAACTTTATCAGGATCCTGTCCCAGCTGCAGCACATCAACCGACGCCGACGTCTGCGGGCCATCGGCATGGCTGTTGGAACGCTGCTGGTCTTTGCTATCTGTTTCGGACCCTACAACGTGTCCCACATCGTGGGCTTCATCCAGTGGAAGAGTCCAAAGTGGAGAGACAAGGCTCTGTTGTGCAGCACCTTCAACGCCTGTCTGGATCCACTCATCTTCTACTTCTCCTCCTCGGCCATGAGGGGGAACGTGGCCGGCATCATAGCCCGGGTGAAGAGACGCCTCTGTGGCTGCACATCCTGTGGTCCACTGGACCAGCTCTCTGTTCAAACTGACACAAATGACACAGAAATGAAACGCAAACAAGAAGAGAGCAACACCAACACCACTTAGACAGGAGGTGACATTGCGTGAGAGGATCTGTTGGACTTCCGGTCCTCTGCCCATTTAACTTCCTGTAATTCCTTCTTCTGGAAACACAATCTCAGTTTTTGTTGCAATGGAATGATGTAAAAACTTGTTTTTTAAGCTGAAGTTTTTTCACTGTTTGGTGAACTTTTTATCGTCTTCTTTCTAAACATTTAGCTTTTTTAAAAATGTAGGCTTTCTAAAGTTTTGTTTTTATAAAGTGTAAATATTGAAGTTACTGTCTGTGTGTTTGTTTCTATCTGAGGCAAATTTAAGATTGCTCTTCATTATTGGGAGCATTTTGTCAAATGTTTGGATTTTCTACATTTAAACGTTTCCTTCTACGTATTTTGAAAGAACTCTTTAGCTCCTTATAAGTGGACTCATTCTTTGGCAAATGTATTTTGCCATAAAATCTGTCTGTTTTTGTATTTTCAGAACTAACCCTGTGCTCTGTGTTATATAAGTGTTTCGCTCTGAGTGTGTGTGTGTGGGTCGGTGGTGAAGCTATATTTGTGGTTAACAAATACTGTCTTTAATAAACCATGCTTTTAAACCATGTTTCATAAAACATTTACAAACAAAAATGTAATGTCTGTGTACACACAGACATTAAATTTTTTTAAACTTACATTTATGGTCAAATCTTTGCCCACAAGTCAGGATTCTTTTGGGGGGGGTTAATGTTGTAATTTTTTTTAACCTGAGGCTGTTTCCATTTAGCATTGGGCTACTTACCTTGCTAACTTGTTTTTCTGTGTTGTATGGCAGAGTTTTAGCCACTTCAGGGCTAAATTATAGCTATCTTTGTCGGATTCTTTTCTGCTCCACTCAGTTTCTCCACTCAGTTTCACTTCAAATGATTTGTGTTCCTCTAGTTCTCTGGGGTTTTCCTGTGATTTCTCAGTTAGTGAATGTTTACCTGAACTTATTAAATCAGTCTTCAGTGAATAGAGCAGCAGCCGTCTGTCCCTGTTGTCTTTTTATTCTTTTATGTGATAGTTGTGTGCACAGTGTGTTCAAACAGCAGCGTCTGTTTGAAGAGGAAGGCTGCTATGTTCGAACCCTGCCTTTGGTGAGAAACAAAACAAAAATAAATGTGTGAAAGCAAAGGCTAAGCTCAGAAATGCTAATATTTTTCAGCTGTTGCTATTAGATGCCAACAATAGTAAAATAAAATATTTTTTGGTGTCTTAATTCACTCTTTTTGGTCACAATTTTGCAATCTATCTACATATTTGGTCGACACAAAAATATTAATCTCCATTATTACATGTAGATCTTATTCCAACTCTACCAGGACCAGGATTCGGTTTTTTTTTATATGCCAGGCTTCAAAACTCTCACTTAAAGTGTAAATATTTAAGCAAATTCTATGTCTACCTTTTCTGTTGTCTGAATATGAGGCAAATCGTTTAGTAAATGTAATAGTATCTGATGTTTAAATTAATTTTTGGAATATCTTTTTTTTATTTATGAACGAGTAGAAACCGGAAGTAGCGCTTGTTAGCTTTGAAAGTTACACTGAGAGAAGAGCACCTGTAACGGTTACCAGGTAGGTCGTTTGTTTCGTTATTATTACCCTTTGCTTCGCGCTGTGTGAATGTGATTTTATGAGACGAAAAATGTTACTTTTTAACTGTGAACATCTTGAATATATATGGAGAATGATTCTAGAGTTGGTTGAGAAGCTGAGTGGTCAGTATTACTTTATTAATTCTTAGTCGATATTAGCAACAATGCTAAGCAATGCTATTTCTGTAATGAATAACGGATGCTATTTTTTTTATTTTATCTACCTAAACTTTTAATTTTACGGTGTTCTTCTTTTTGGACAGAACTCTTTAGCTCCTTATATATGGACTTATCCCATGTGCTATTTTTATGTTATCAAAATTTTAAACTCTAATTCCTATACATTTGTCTAAATGTTGTCTCTAATCTTATCCCTAATCTAATCCCTGTATTTATCTCAAGGCTCATCAAACTGAAGAGACAAGGCTCTTGATCCGCTTGTCTTCTATTCTACTTGTCCATGAGAGGGAATGTTGCTTGACCACACGACAAGACGCCTCTGTGGCTGCACATCCTGCCGTCCCAGGTGAAGCGTAAACAAGAAGAGAGTTACGTCAACAGAATCTAGCTGGGGAGGAACATTGCGTTGCTTCCTGCCTTGTAAGAAGTGACACAAGGTAGGAACCAAAGACCAATCTGTTTACAAAATCTGTGCTTTTATCTCCCAAAGACGCAGCAGTGCTTGATGCCACTATTACTAAAATCAAATGCATTATTTTGTGATGTATTTTGGGAAATTTTCTTTAAAATTGAGCATAGTTACAAAAAAGACCACAGGTGGCAGTAGTGACATAGCTTCTGGGATGGCAGAAAATCTCCCTTTAACTTTGTTGCCTTTCTTCACATTTGCCCCCCCGGCCCCAATCCTCCATAAATATTCACACACAAAGTTTGCTTGTTGTTATTATTATTTTTTGTCAAAATCCACCCACACACAAACACTGACGTGCTTTTTTTTCAAACCCACATCGAGAAACTTGACAGTATGTTTTCATTTCTTTGTGTTTTTTGATTTTTCTTCATATGTTTTTTTCTTTGTTTTCTTTAACGAGGACATGTTTGTACACACAGATGTTTATATGCTATCGACAAACGCAGCATGATATGCTGACATGGTTATACAAATACATGAGTCACAGTTTAAAAAATAAAAGGAAAACAAAATGGAAAAAAAAAGCAGGACAGACAAAGAGCCATAAAAAGCTCACAAAAACAGTGAACAGCTGAAGAACCTGCTCTTGTGCTTAACTGGAACCTGTGGTGTTTTCTTTGGGCTCAGTTAAAAAAAAAACCCAGGAAAAAAACATTTTCAGGACATTGAGCAACATTTACACAGAGATTCACAATCAGTTCAGACTCCTGTACAGAATACAGGTACAAGACGTATTAAAATGGACCTTATTAAAGGGACAGTTGTATTTTCTCTATAATGATTGTATGATGTACCGAGACTCAGTGAGAACATGGACTCCAGAACAGGTTGAATTGGCATCAAGCTAAATCTACAATATCTTTACTACTAATCAGTTCACATCCTCAACTCGCTGTTAGATTTTCTAACTCACTCTTTCACATCACTCCATGGAAAAAATCGGTCATTTTAGCACAAACGTTTGTGATCTAGAACCCACTCCATCACGTCGATTAGGTGTTTTTTTTATTTTATTTTATATTTTACTTTAAATCATTTGTTCACCTTCATCTCAGTGATACACAAACTGAAACTGAACACTAGAGGCAGCACTATGGACTTTGCTCCGTAAAGTAAAATCACATGTTCTTTATAGAATTTGGTTTTCAAGCTAAAATTGCTGACTTTCTCTATGGACTTTGGTGTGGGAGAGGGAGTTTTTTTTTTTTAAAGTTTACTTGTTGGCAGCCATGTTTTCACTGAAACTCCTCCTTCTGTGTATGAGGCTGCTTTGAGCAGCATGGGGCCCCGTACAGCACAGCTAGTTCTAACTGGAACCACTTTGTTTTTGGTTCTATCCCCTAGTCTTTGATCCAGGAACAGAGTCTCATACCTGTAGCACAGTAAAGTCAAGGGATTATTGCTGGTTTGCAAACAAAAAAATATCAAAACAAAGACACATTCAGACAGTGGAGTAGGTCACAGGACTCGGCACTGTCACATGCACTCTCTTCTTTCTGTGCAAACTCTTGATGAGACATTTGCATAAACGTACGTGTCTCTGTGTGTGGGGGAGAAGAGAGAAAGTGGGCGGGGGGGCACGGAATTTCCTTCAACAGTTTGTGCTCGTCTTTGAAGAAGACTTTTCTTAACCATTTGCCAATACCTATACAGTAGCTAATTTCATCTTGACCTCTCTGTGGTGGGAAACCAGGACAGAGAGAGACAGATCCAGATTGTTCCAGAGACGGAAACAAACAATTACACACACATTGATAGAAGAAAAATCTGCTGAGAGTCGGTGTGTTTACTTGTGTGTGTGACAGAGAGAGAGAGAGAGAGCGACTGAAACTGTCTACAAACATATACGTTTGAACAAATGATGATCAGACTGAATCTGGAGTCAAATTAAAAAAAAGATTTTAAAAAGCTTGTTGTGGTTAAATAGAGAAAAAAACCCCGATAAGTTCACATTTTTCACTTTCATTTTAAAAACGTTTGATGTCTGTGTTTGTGTGGAAGCCCAGAGGAGACAAGAAGGAAAAAAAACCCAGTAATTTCCCTGGATAAAAATAAATAAATCCAAGAATCTACTGTGTGCTTTATAACAAGTTCATACTGAAAGTGGTGTTTTTAAAAAATGTAATAAAAAGTTCTAAGTCATGATCATTATAGAAGGACCAACATGCCTTCACAAAAAGCACACACTCAAACCTAAAAGAGTGTGGAAGGACTAAAAAAATTGTATTTGTAAAAAAAAGTGAAACTTACAAAACTGAGAGTTTTGTAAATTTCATCATTTCCTCCAAACATGAACCTGACTCTTGTCTGACCTGTCCTCTGGTTTACAGCTGTTAATACTCACACAGAGAGAGAACCAAAAGTTAACATCATTTTCCAGATGGCTTAAAGGCAACCTAAATATATATATATTTTTAATAAGAACTAAAACCTAATCATTATGGACTCAGACCTGAACTGTAACACAAACATATGTATTTATGGAGATGAAAACTTTTGGTAAAGATGATTTGATTCCTCCTCGTCCCCTGCTGGTCTCCGTAGTTTTTAACTTCCAGGACAAGAGTATAAAAAAGCTTGTTTTTCAACACATTCATTACACCATCAGGATTTTTTTCCTCACATTGTTCATATTCAAATACTTACTCATCAACATCATCATCTTTTTTTCATAATTATTATCATTATTTTTATTATTAACACCAAAAAGTGGAAACAGGAAACTTGCAGTGGGCAAAACAGACACAGTGCAGAGACAGAGGGAGGGACCAGGGGACAGATTCACGACAGGAAGTAACATCTTAAACTGGGGACATGCTATCAACAAGTGACACAGAAGGTGGCGCCATAGCACTGCAGCTTTGGGACCTGAAGTCTTGTTTGCATTTGTGGTCACTGGTGATCAGTGTCTCTGCTGATTCAGAGTCCTGCTGCAGCCAAGGCAAGGCATGATGGGAAACAAGGGGTGCGGAGAGGAATGGCTTTGGAATAGATATTTACACTGCAGTAGGGGTCGGGCAACAGGAGAGTCACACGTAAGAACGACAGGAAATGGGGATAGTCTATTGTGACAGAAACAGTAAAGAGTTGTGACGACATTCATATGAAAAAAAAACTGAATCCAAAGAAATGTTTTTTTTTAAAGGGAAAGTTCAACTTCTCGTGTGAGATCTGATTATGTTCAACAAAGACAAATCAGTGATTTTAGCTCACAGACCAAAGTCCATGGAGAAAATCAGTGTCTGAAGCTAGTACTGACACCATAATTGTCTCCGGACCACTGTGTGAACTGTCCCTTTAAAACTGAAAATGAAGTCACAACTTTTTTTTTTTTATGCATTTGACATCATTCAGAACAGCTGAGCTGCTGCACAGCTAGAACTACAAACACAGTGCACGTGTGTGTATGTACTGTATGTGTGTGCGTGCGCGCGTGCACGAGAAATGAGTTAATTCTTTTCCACTTGTTTTCAGTTTGACAACGATCTGACGTGAATCCAAGTAAACATCACAGTCCAGTCATTATTAATTCCATCAACAATCGATTGATCGTCCGCATGTTGAATGATCTGTCCTCTCACCTGATCACATGACAGTAATCAATCATCTTCACTGTCAGAAACAACAACAGCAGCCCAAGACTTTGGGCGGAGCAAAGACCATGAACTCTTAGAAACAGAGAGAGAGGGGAAAAGGAAGTAACGATGAGGTCAGACGACAATTTACAACATGGGGACAAACTCTGACGTCTGTCCAGCTGTGTCGTAAAACCACAACTTTGACTAAAAAATACAGAAATAGACAAATTAAAAAAATAATCTTAAAATCTTGCATAAAAGTTTTTTACACATCCAGTGTTTAAAGTTAAGAATGCCACAGAAACTTACAGGAAGTAGAAACAAAAAAGGTTTTCTGCATTGGAAAAGCTTTGAAAAATGCTGCCACCTGCTGCCTATCTCAGTGCACTGACTGAGAAATCGATTTTCTCTTCAAAGCCAGAAGAGAGAGGCAAACCTTTCCAATTTAACAACAGTTCCCAACAAGAAAGAAACAACTGCACTCAGTTGCCACTAGAGGGCGAGTCTGTTACTGGCACTTTGAGGTTGGTTAAAACAGATTCTCTAGTAAAACAGTACCAAGAACTATGAGCCTGGAGTTCTAAGATGAATTCTTACTTTCATCAAAGATTTCTGACTCTTGAGTCTTGTAAACTATCCATGCTAACACGTGCTAACTCATGCTAACCCACCTTTAGCCCGCTACAGCTGCACCAGCAGATCAGACAGGCTCTTCAAGCTGCTGGTGCAGCTGAAGAGGGCTAAATGAGGCCTAAGTTCTGTAGCTAATGGCCCCGCCCACTTTCTCCCAGCAACATCACACTGCTGCTGCTGCTGCTGATTATTGACTTTAGGAATCAATCAGTGATTCTATGAGTGTTCAATCAGACAGAGGAATGTCGCGTTGTCATGGAAGAAAAGATGTAGTCGTCTGACCTCAGGGCGAGAGGGAGAGAGAGAGAGAGAGAGAGAGGGAGGGAGACATTAAAGATAAGTGGACGAGTGCTGATGTTTCTGTGTTTTTTTTTCTTTCTTTTTGTTTTTGTGTTCCTGTTGTTCCTGATGAATGGATGGCTCTGCATTAATGCATATATTCTTCATGTTCACAGTGATGGGTTTAAAATTTAAAAATTTTAATTTTCTTTCTTCCTTCTGGGATGGGAGGGGTCAAGTGAGGGTCGGGAGTTTGGAGACTTTTCAAGGAATATTCCAGATCCAGCTTTCTGCTTTTTTTCTTTTTTTTCGTTTCTATGCCTTCAGCAGAAAAAAAGCACAGGACAGTGAAAGCAGAAGACAGATGGCGCCACTGGCTCCTGAGGTTAGAGCTGTCCCTCGGCCTTGAATGGCCCCTGGTCCTGGAGAAAGAGAGAGAAAACGAACGTTCACAATAATAATAATAATAATAATGGTTGTTTTTACTTTTTTTTCTCTCCACATAAACCAGTTATTTGTTATTACGTCTCCTCCTGTTCTCTCCCTCTCTCACAGATGGCTGTCATTTATTTTCCAGCCACATTTGACGTGATCTCTCTCCAGTGAGTCATTTCCTAACCTTCCATTTTTCCTGGAGCTCAGCTCTTCAACTCTGATCTCTCTGTGGTGTCACTTCCCCTCCATCCTTCTTTCTTCCTTCCTCCTACATTCTTCTCTCTTCATTATTTTCTCCACCTTCATTCTTCTGTCCTCCTTCATTATTTTATTCTCCTCTAATAGCCCTCTTTCCTCTGCTCTACTGCCTACTCTCCCTCTCTAATCTGCTCCTGTCATCACAACACCTACTGTATGTTCTGCTGCGTCACTCTTCCGTTTCATGCCTCTAGGGACAACAAATAGAACCTCATCAAAGAGATGCTCCAGGTTCTGTGCGCCCCCTGCTGGCCAAGAGTACTAAAAACTGGCCCATAATAGGTAAAGGAAAAAAACAAAAACACTAAAAACTCATTTGAGCCGCCAAAAAACAAAGAACGACACTGACAAATCTGTAAATATAAGACTGAGATTCAAACAACAATGTTCATACTGAAAAGCAGCATGCTGGCATTGGAAGCTCCCAAGCGGTTGGAGGCAGAGCAGGTGTAGTTTCCAAAGTGTTTCTCTGTGACATTGGTGAAGAGCAGCAGCGAGCGGGTTTTTTCATTCTTGATCCTCAGTGTGTTGTCACTGTCCAGTCTGGGTGAGTGAGAGCACAACAGGCATAGAGAGAGAGAGAGAGAGAGAGCAATCTAATTGGCTTCATTTGTAAATCTTTGGCAAAAGAGAGCAATCTAATTGGCTTCATTTGTGAATCTTTGGCAAAAAAACCCAAAAAACTAAAACATTTTGGAGAAGCTACACCTCCCCTCGACGATCATTTCTGTCTTTAAATACAAAAGTATCTGGAACTGATGTTCACCTGTGCTCATCTCTGTACCACTCAAAGGCAGCTGGAGGAACAGCCATAGCTTCACAGCGGAGGATGGCGGTCTTACCCAGGTGTGCAGGCATATTCTTCATGTCTGTGATCATTGGAGGATCTGACAACATACAATACAACAACAACAACAACAAAGCTGTTACTAATCAGGATCTGCTCCAGTCCAAGTCCATCTGCTGTGGTCCAGTTCCCCTGCCCACAGAATTATATTCACTACAGATGCAGCTGTGTCTGAAAAAACACTGTTTTTTAATGGAATGAAACACATAGATGATATGGACAGATGGATTGTAAATTATTTTCAGTGTGATCAGGTGTGGTCTCTCTCACTCACACTCTCTCTCTCTCTCTCCACAGATACTCACAGTTGACAGTAACTTTGACTTTGTGTTGATCGGGTGGAGCCACTCCGTTGTTGGTGATGCATTCGTAGTCCTTGGCCTGCTGCCGTTTGATTTCTGTGATGTCCAGAAACTCGCCTTCACTCATCAGACCGTCTGTGGGAACAAAGAAAAAAAGGTGAGTGACAGCCTAGACCTATGGCATCATGGGAAAATTAATGTTTCAACATCGACTCACAGAATAATTTTTTTGTTCACTACTTTTGCTGGAAGATTTTTTTTCACTTGTTCAAGGAGAAAACTCTATAATTTTCTCTGCTGAATTTCACAGGAGTGACGTTTAGTTTTGAACCTGTCAGTTATGGGTTTGTCTCCCTGTCTGTCGCTGCAGTTCTAACCCCTCATCATGTAAAGACTAAAAGACTGATCACGACATCATGACATTTATGAAGTCACTTGGTAAAAGCTCAACAGAAGTGAGTTACGACCTTTGACCCAAAATAATCAGAGACGCTGCTAAGGTCATAGTGGGTCAAAGTCCAGAAAAGAATGGACGCAGTCAAAGTTCAGGCACTAACTTTCTGGGAGGTTGATCAGTGAGAGGTTGAGCTGCTGACAGGTCTGGGTTTAAAGGAGCTGAGAGAACAGTCTGTCTGTCTGTCTGTCTGTTTGTCTGTCTGTCTGTTTGTCTGTCTGTCTTTGTGCGCTGGTAAACAAAAGTGGAGATAAAATGATGAGGCCAACGGTTGGCTGAGAAACAACAGATTAGTCTGGAGGATGATGAAGAGGAGAATCAGACAAGAATGACCAGTGACCGATGAGAGGCACCAGTCTGTTATACACTGTAGGAAGCTCCGCCCACTCTCTCTGTCCCTGTGGAACACAGACACGCACATACTGATGGTTCTTCAGCTTCTCTCTCTCTCTTCTCCGCCTATTGTCTACGACTGATGGCTCTCTGCAGAAACTCAGCTGGAATATCAATGTGACCATCTCTGAGCATATTATGGTCTGCTGAAGGAGTGTGTGTGTGGGAGGGGTGGCTACTGAGAGAGAGGACTTTGTGCTGACACAGGAGAAAACACTGAGCTTACAGCGTATACTCTCAAGTAGCTGTGTGTGTGTGTGTGTGTGTGTGTGTGGTGGTTGGGGGGGGTCTGTGTCTGAGGTTCTGGTTCAGAGGACAGAACAGGTCAACAAACACTAATGGTGCATCAGCTACTGCACAGGAAAGAGGTGAGGAGGAGGGAGTGAGGGCAGAAGGGGGCAGTAGTACATCATAACATTCACCGACTCTCAATCATGAACTGAAAATAAAAAGAGGGAAAACTGTCACGAAAGAAGAAAAACACTTAAATTCCTTCTATGAACTTTGGTCAGTAAACCAAAATCAATGGTTTTCTCTATGAGTTTTGGTGTTGGTGCAAAAAGAACTTAATAAGTGGCTGAGGGTTTTGTGGAAAACAGGAAAATTACCAGAAACAATTTTTATCTTCTTCTCTGTAACTTAACAGCTCACAGAGGAAAAGTAAATCAAGTTTATTCCAGGCTCCAGTACTCCCTCTCCAACCCCCCTTCTTCCAACTCCCCCAGGTTTCAACTCTCAAGTCCCTCCAGACCAAATTGTTTTTAGTGAATTTGGCCTGAACAAAAAGAATAATCTAAAATGAAAAATAAGTGTATATATATAATAAGTCAGGAAGTGGTCACACTCACACTCCTGCTCCTTCCAGGTGACTGTAGGTTCAGGTCGACCGACTGCCAGACAGAAAAGGTTCACATTTTCCCCTTCGTTCACTGACACGCTTCTGGAAACGTTGACGATTCGAGCGGAACTGAAAACGGCAGAAAAAAAAGGATCAGGCTCTAGAAAAATATCTGTCCTTGAAAATCCCTCCACTCTTCATCCCATGATGCAAATCCCAGCACTTTCCAGGTGATGAGCTGAGTAACCATCCATGTACAATGGCTGAGTGAACACACAGCTCCAGTGACACTGGAATAAAACCTGGACCCAGCTGGACCTGGACAGAATGTTTTTCCTCCTGCCTGACTTTAACAAACTGTAAACACAGAGTTCATTCTGAGACTGAAACAGAAACAACAGAACTGAGGGGAGGATCGTGAAACTTCAAGTGTTTCTTCTCCAAACCCCTTGATTTAAGCCTGAACTTTTGATTTATAATGGTCGTCAACGTCTTCATATTGAAACACTGTATACTGATCTAAGTTAACCCTAAGATTTTGAGTTAAGAAATCTTAATTTGTAGCTCAGGTATTTTTAATATTTAGTCCAAGTCCACGTGGGAATGTGGGACTTAAACATGTTTATTGATCCTATCTTTGCATTTTTCCTTGTGTTTGTTTACATCAACAGTGACCTTAGACCCCTCCTTCAGGACTGACCTTGTACGATGAGGTAGACCTGCGTGACCAGGGGCCGGTTGTTGGCCTGGAAGGTGCAGATGTAGGGACCCTCGTCATATACCCGCACCTTCTCAATGTGGATGGAGAAGTCACTGTCGTTGTTGTTGGCCATAGTCACGCGATTGTCCAGCGTCCACTTGTAAGCCTGAACTTTTGATTTATAATGGTCGTCAACGTCTTCATATTGAAACACTGTATACTGATCTAAGTTAACCCTAAGATTTTGAGTTAAGAAATCTTAATTTGTAGCTCAGGTATTTTTAATATTTAGTCCAAGTCCACGTGGGAATGTGGGACTTAAACATGTTTATTGATCCTATCTTTGCATTTTTCCTTGTGTTTGTTTACATCAACAGTGACCTTAGACCCCCCCTTCAGGACTGACCTTGTACGATGAGGTAGACCTGCGTGACCAGGGGCCGGTTGTTGGCCTGGAAGGTGCAGATGTAGGGACCCTCGTCATATACCCGCACCTTCTCAATGTGGATGGAGAAGTCACTGTCGTTGTTGTTGGCCATAGTCACACGATTGTCCAGCGTCCACTTGTCTGTCCCCGTGTAGAGTATGTTGGATCGGTTCAGCCACGCCCTGTGAGTCACTTCTTCCTCGATCCGGCATCTTTCACATGGACGGGAGGTGGTCTGTTATTTTTAACATTCTGCCCTATTACTGTGCAGCACTTCATTTTATTTAGACTCTAATATGAAGCATCTTAAAAGGTTATAGAATCAAACACACTCAGAGAAGTGTTTGTCTGTTAAAGTGTAAAACTGACCCAGAGTCAGTTCAAAGACTGAGCTCATGAAGCTTCAGCACCATGGTCAGTGCTATAGTTCTGCTGTTGAAGGAAGAAAATTCATCATGATGATTAATTTGTTCACTACTGAACAAAATAATCATAATGACTCGGACATTGTTGCATTCATTACACACACTGAACAGCAGAGGTGACATTTAGGACCACAGGGGTCTTTTAGGGACATCTGTGAGGTTGGATTTTCCTCATCAGAGCGACAGAGCCGCAGCACCAGAACTGACCTCAGGGTGACGCTGTCTCCTTCCAACACTGTAATGTTATCAGGCAGGTGTCCAAGTTCTGCTCCACTCACACTGGACCCTGCAGACGAGGTCAGAGAAGAAAAGACAGTGAATTGTTTGGGGTTTTTTTTCATTGGCTGTTAGTTTAGCTTTAAGCAGCTTCATGTGTCGATCACTGAACATACATGCACATCTATACACATATATAGATAAATGTATAAACGTATAAACGCACGTAAATACACACACACACACACACACCACGACCTCTGGAACACCAAATGTTCATTGATTTTTTTGCTCTTAGACCAAACCTTATAGAGAGGAATGAGAAGTAGGAAGTGGATTATCAACCACTGGGAGGCCCAGGCCATAGGTCAGAGGTCAAAGAGCTGAGGGATCAGACATTAACCTGCTCACACTGTCTTCACCCTGAATTCACTCCTAACTCCCACCCACTTCTATCTGCTCCAACTCAGTGAAACCTCTGACCTCCTCTGCTCTCGGCTCCACCTGTCAGCCACTCAGACATCAGGAGCTGGAAGAGAAACGACCAGGATGGACGCTCCACTCTCCGAGGAGCCACCTGATGGACATGCAGCCGTGGGAGGGAGTCAACTGACTGAATATAACTCACGTCCAAGAATGGATTCTTCCAACTCAGTGAAACCTCTGACCTCCTCTGCTCTCGGCTCCACCTGTCAGCCACTCAGACATCAGGAGCTGGAAGAGAAACGACCAGGATGGACGCTCCACTCTCCGAGGAGCCACCTGATGGACATGCAGCCGTGGGAGGGAGTCAACTGACTGAATATAACTCACGTCCAAGAATGGATTCTTCTGATCATCTTCTGGTAATGTGGTCATTTTTTACTTTTTTTTTTAGCAAAAGAGTATGCCGTGAGCACCCCCTGCTGTCTACTTTCATACGTGACAGCAAAGATCCAAGTCTCTTTATAAAATTCTGAGCTGATCAGGAGCTGGAAGAGAAACGACCAGGAGGGACGCTGGTATAATTAACATATCTGTGGGTCACACAGAGGTTTGTTTATAAACCATCGATGATAACCGCTTAGGAGCCGACAGATCTGAACGTGAATGTATTCATTTAAAAACAAATGTCTGTTTTTGAAACAAAGCATTAGGAAACAGTCAGATCTTTTTCATTCTGGGCTTTGTAAGAAAATTCCTTTATGTTCAGTGGAGCTGCTCATCATTCAAGGTCATCTTCAGTGCTGGGCTGACCTCTGAAAACCACACCACCACCGCCTCCTCCTGCTCCTCTTGCTAACTACACACACACAAACACACACACATGCACACAAACACGGCTGCTCACACAGCGTGATGTCAGCAGCTCGCCAAAACCATCAACATTTACATCAGCACAGGAGCCACCCCCACAGTCGCCCTCTGGTGTCCAGGTTGGCACACTTTATACAATGAGACATCTGCTCCTCTATCCTCCTTCCCCTTCACACGTTACACACACACACAGCTGCTGACAAAACACACACACACACACAGACACAGACACATTGTCAATATAAAAATAGGTGACCGTCCCAGACTGAGGTCCATCGAGATTTCCTCACCGATCTTCTTTATGGTCTTTGGTCTGTAAGCTAAAATCACAGATTTTTTCTATGGACTCTGGTGTAGAGGAAGGCTGAGTGTTTTACAATAATAAAAACAGATTCATAAAGGATTGAAAAGTCAACAGTTTTTCTTAAAGAATAAGCAGCTGCTGTGGAGCAGCAAAATGGCATTAAAACTATTTAAGGACATTTTCTCCTCCTTCGTTCTAATAAAAAGAAAAAAAAAAAGTTCCTATGCACTGCTTCTTCTTCTTCTTCTCTCACTTTGGTGCCAGAAGAGGGAATCAGTATGTGAACAGGTTTGAGCAGCCCAAACGTTCTTCAAAACAACTCTCAGGCATGCTCTGATTCAAGTGTTTCTTGTGAAGATGGAACTGACATCTGTTTTTGGAAACATCGTTTGCCGTCCGTCCATAAAACATTTTCAACTGAAGGTGGAAAAGACTGACATTATCCTCCTGGGAGAAGTCTGAACTGCAGTGTTGTTCAGTTGAAAAACCCCGTCCACACTGAATGGACCGGAGCTCCCAGTCAAGAGGGTCCACTACAACATCTTTCCTTAGCCAACCCCATCATCATCATCATCATCATCTTCACATCATCACCATCGCTATCAGCAGCAGCAGCAGCAGCAACCTACACTAAAATGAGACACATCTGCTGTCTCCTTGAACAGATAAAAGCCCAGACCTTCAGGTCGAAGGAGGAATCGATCGTCCTCCGCCTCCTCTGTCTGATCCTTTTTCACCAAACACCGACTGAAAGGAATCAATTACAACAATCAAGGAAATGTCTGAGGAAGGAATCACGGTTCAAAACCTTTCAGGTTTCTGCACAGGCTAAGAACTGGTGATCTGTAGATGGCGCTCATGGAAAGATGCTGTTCAATATGAGTGGTGGTGGATACAGAGGAAGACGGTGAAGCCGATTCAGTTGATTTACACCAGACCTAGGCAAACTACGGCCCGTGGGCCAGATGCAGCCGGCTGGGATTTGTAATCCGGCCCAGTATGGTGAAGACTGATGTCAGTTCTTCTGTTTCATTATTTATCATCTTTCTTATTTAATGGAATCAACTGTAATTTTTTCTGATGCCACTAGATGGTGACAGGCATTAAACGTGCCAAATTAAGAAATAAGTTAATGGATCCTCAGGGAATCAAACCCAGGACTCTTTGCTTTTTAGTTGCAAGGCAACTGCACTGCAGTCAAATTTTGAACTTCATTTTTGGCCTGTGACTAATTTTTTGGTAGAATATATTACTTGTTTTTTTCAAGGACAATTTAAGAGACTTCTAGAAGACTGTAAAAGAATTTTACAAAAGAGTTGCAGCGCTCTCATATCGTAGAGTGAAATACGTAGTGTTCTCCCACACCAAGGTCCATAGACAAACTCAGCAATTTTCAGTCATCCAGTCCACTGAATCTAAAAAGTTCCAACGTGAGAAGGCAACATCTGATTTTCATCAGTCAACTGACATAAATCTGCCGAACGTGTGTTTGTTTTTTAAATCTGAAGCTGTTGTTTTAGAACAACTGTGGATATAAGTTACGGTGTGAAAACAGCCTCTGGTGTTTTCACCTGTTCTTCTGCATGCTCATCACTTCTCCTCCTGCAGCTAAAATCTCACTCCAAACATGTTCGCAGGAGGAAATTCAGAGTGTCCCTGCAGCAGATAATCCTGCTGCAGCTGCTGCATGTGGGACATGTTTCTCGCTTAGGGATAGAATTCCTCAGCAGCTCCACACTTCTGTCAGAGGTTTAATAAAAAGTCCTCCGTGAAACAGCTTTAAACGTGAACAGAAGGTGAGAAGAGCAGCAGATGAATGTTAATCAAACCCAACAACACAGGAAGCCAAAGAAAGTCTGTCTGTAATCATCCTTGACCTACATACCAGTGAGCCTCACAGCCTGAATACAAATGATTTCTGTTGTTTGTTCTGTTATTCCAATCAGAACTCCTTAAAGGGACAGTTCGGCTGCTTTCAAGTATCTGAGCGGCCACGCTGATTTCAGACACATTTACAAAAGGTTCAGTCTCCCAGAACAAAGCCCACAGAGACAATGGGTGACTTTATCTCCCAGACCAAAGCCCATTCAAAAATCAGTGATTTTATCTCACAGACCAAAGTCCATTGAGACCTCAATTACTAAGGTGTTTCTTTACAACTTTACTCATTTTAAATCTACGATATCCTAATCTTCAGTTTCCTGTCAAAATGACCAGTGAAATAATGATGTGAACAGACTTCAACATCAGTTTTTACCTTAAAGCATCATTCCCTTTAACAGGCAGGTGAGGGAGAAATTTAGTTCAAAACTTAAAACACAGAATTCATCAACTTGTGCATAAATGATACCTACCTGACCCTTCACTGGTAAAAAAAAAAAAAGATCCACACCCTGCTATCTTTTAAACCCCAAATTTGTTTGAAGTCTTGCACCAGTCCCACCCTGCCCTTTGACCCAGACCATCCACAGGCTCGCCCCCTGGTGGTCTTTCCATTACATCCTGTAAGTCTTCAGCACCAGAAACTGAAGCCTGTTGCCATAGAAACTGCGTGAGATTCGGTACTGCTTCTTCAGACGGGGATCACTGTTTGGTATTCACGTGTGTGTTTGTCCCATGCATCAGTGCGGTTTTTACCCAGGATGCTCTGCTGCTCTCTGACGTTTCCAGGGTCTGAGGTGTTTTTGATGAAGGGCAGTGAACTGGTTGTGGTCTCTAAATATTTGGACTCAAACACCTCGGAACCTTCTGCTCACATTTACCGCTGAAGTCAACTCTGTGTGGAAACCGGTGTCTGTGGTGGATGCCAACGTTGTTCACCGAGGAAAGAGAATAAGGAAAAGGCGTATTCCTCAGAAATTGCAGCAGTGAAATTAGCTCCAGTTAGAGTTTTAAAACAAATTGACCAAAAGTTGAAAATAGCGTGAGGTGAGTGAGTGTAAAATGTTAACAGGGAAAAACAGGACACAAATATGTGTCAAGTTGAAAAAAGGCAGAAATACAAAATGAGTCCAAATGAACAGAGGACGAAAGGAAAGTAGGGCAAACAAAAATCAAGTGACCAAAAAAAAAAATTGGCAAGACTGCGAAAGATATGGAAAAGGGAACTTCACTTCCTCGTACAGTATTAATACTACTTCTGCTGCCCACTGTTCCTGGTGACAAGTCCTGCGTTGTTATCAGCAGTGTGTCGTTTCAGCTCTTGGTGGGTCGTTCTTCCAGCCACGGCTTTTGATTTGGAAATATCTTTGGTTGGTGTTGTGTCCTCTAGTAGAGTGGTTCTCAAACGGTGGTACGCGTACCACCGGTGGTACGTGAACGTAGTGGTGAGCAGGGAAAACTCATATTTTCACATTTCCATTTTGTATTGAATAAATCTGAAACATACCGTGCACTATTAATACAACCTTTAAACATCTTTATAAACATTTATAAACATCTCTACCTTTTCTCAGGTAGTACAGAGTATAAAAGGTTTGAGAACCACTGCTCTAGTACTTTCTGTACTATATACACAGAAATATATAAACGGTTCTGTGAACTACACACACACATCTCCCAACATATCCTGTGACGTCATACACGTTTCCATCGTCACCTCCCTGTGTAGTTATGGAAGTGTTTATTTGCAGTAATCACTCTCTCAGTCACTGGGCTGTAGAAGAAAACGGTAAATCCATAAAAAGACACAGCTTTGGCTGAAGGATTCCATCCCAGGGATAGAAATGACACTCACTTTCAATTAGTACCACAAGTCAAGTAATTAATGAGTGGGGAGGGAGGCCGAGGCGGGGTGCAGCAGCAGCAGCAGCAGCAGAGGCAGCAGCTCATCACAGTCGGGGTAAAGGGGTTTTTTTAATCCATGTCAAGATGACCTTAATTGGTCCAGATGGGCAGCACCCACCCAGCGACCACGCTCAGCAGCCTAGAATAGTTGTCGCCCTCATTAACAACAAGCTGCTGAAAATTTCTGAGATGTTGAACATTTGGCCCGTGACCTGTTCATGATGCAGTCAGCCACCAGGGTCCGCCGGAACAAGATCTTTAGTGTTTTTACTCACGCATCACATCTGCTGTGGAAAATTCACCCCGTGGGCCGACTCACAGGCAGAACATCATAGAAAGATCAGCACATTTAGCGTCAACACCAGACCTCACAGAGAAAGTCAGTGATTTCAGCATCCACGCATGTCATTTTAAAACATAGTTTGTTGTAAGAACTTAACTTTAATTAGTTACCTTTATACGGGTTTCAGCTTCTTTACACAAAGTAACATTTTTCATACTTCTCTGGAGCTTTGCTCCTGTTTTTCATCTGTCCTGTTTTCTAAAGTCACCTTCAATTTACCGCTGGGTTTGAAAGGATCCCATGTGTTTCCACACACACTTGGTTGATAGAAATGAAACCCAAATGTATTTAAACCTAGAGAAATCCGACTCTATTGTAATAATCTAAATAAAACTGTAATAAAAAATACACTACGTACATGAGCTGATATGTCAGAGTAAAAAATCAATGATTTTCTCTCTGCTGTTTAAAATAAAATGGAGGCATTTGTGATAACAAAGCCACAGACACAGATTCAGCCTGAGATGACTTGAATGATTTTTTTTCCTCCTCTGTCTGTCGCTCTGCCCCCTAGTGTTTAACTTGGGACAACAACACCATGAGAGTATGTACTGTAACGATTTCATCTCCATCTAAACTCTACATGAAGATCCCTCAGCCTTGACGTCCACATGACCACACTGTCACGACCGACCGAACTGTTGACCCTTATCAGTGCCCCCTAGAGGCAGGGCTTAGAGAAAGGAAACCTGACGTTGTTTTGAGAACTCACTCAAAGAACTGACTATTCTGAGGACTGTGAAGCAAACCACCTGCTGCTGATGAGATGCTGCTGCCTGTGTGTGTGTTCCACTTACATCCAATTACCTGCTACTGGAGTCACACACACACACACACACACGCACATGCACACAGCAGGCAGCTGGCTGTGTTTCCAGGAACACACTGACCTTGTTTCTCCTTCATTTATGAAACTGAAATTAAAACCATCAATAGTCTCAGACTGAGTTTTATTGATATTCAAACCGTGACGTGATGATAACAGAACGCCGCTCAAAGGTTTCTGTGTGTAAAGTGGACAATGAATAAATAAAACAGACAGAATATAGTAACGTCGGTTTGTGCAGCAGTGCACAATAAAGGGAATACAGCAGCAACTGTAAACAGCAATCAAGGCGTATGACTCGCAGGGTTCACTCTGAGGCGCCTGCACGAGTGCACGGTCTGAGTTCATCAACGTTTCTAGAAAGTGTTCCTCCCTAAGGTTCTGGTCCATTGTCTTTCTGCTGCGTCTCATTCTACTCCACATTTCTTCACCCAGACGGTCCCATACTGATGCCTCCGTGCTGCTGCTGCTGCTGCTGCTGCCGCTGCTGCTGCTGCTGCTGCTGCTACTGCTACTGCTGCTGCTGCTGCTGCTGCTGCTGCCGCTGCTGCTGCTGCTGCTGCTGCTACTGCTACTGCTGCTGCTGCTGCTGCTGCTGCTGCCGCTGCTGCTGCTGCTGCTGCTGCTGCTCATGGATATAGTTTCCTTCTCCACTATATCTTCTCTAGGCTCCCATTTCTTTATCTCCTTCTAATAGGCACTAGTCACATGACACGTGACATCACTGTTATTTTCCGCTGTATGACGGTTTACTTCACGTCTGTCATGTTTTCTTGTTGTGAACAATTTTCTAAATCGTCCACATTTTCTAAACACTCGTGTTTGTATCAGAGGACGAGTGTTTTTCATCATCAGAACAACATCGGACCTGTGGCAGAGTTGAGCAGGAGGAGGAGGAGGAGGGGGAGACACTGTGTGTGAGAGAGAGAGTGGGTGTCAGAAGTGAAGGTGTTAGGATGTGCAGAAGAAATTGAAAAATTGGATTTTGAGGAGAGGACGGCGCTAACATTAGTGACAGCAGAACTAAACTGACTGAACCTGAGGAGAGAGAGGAGGAGAAGATGGAGCGAAGGAGCAGATATTTATTCGTTCACGTTCGTGTGTGATTACGGTTAAATTCCAGAGCGACAGTCAAAGGTGACGCTGTAAAAACCCCAACACAGGCGTTGAGTTGAAGTGGGTCAAACCCACGTCAGCAGTGGAGTCGCTGACGTCCGCGGTGCACTTTAGTGCAAAGGTTATTTTATGTGAGTGAGGTGGAAATGTTTAGTTTGCTGATGCACTTCTTAATGAAGGCTTAAATGTTTGAAGTGGGAGTGGATGTGAACTTGAGGACGACCTTCAGCACGTCTGACCTCACAGTTTGGTCGGTCCAGTCTCTTGTCTATTCATTATTCATGGGACATCAGAGCACAGAGACTGGGACATCACACTTTTCTTTGCTGTAGTCTGAAATAATTCTCCAGAATATCCCCCCACTATTATCAGAACTAATATGATTTTCTTTCTATCTTTGATTAGTTTTTTTTTCTCTGTTCCAGCAGGTTCTGTTGTTCTGGTTATCTTTAATTCAAATGATTTCTCTGGGACATTTTTATCCATATTTGCCCTTTGCTAACTTGGGTGCTAACTATTTTCAATCAAACTATGAAAATCTGAATTGACAGTTTTTCATCACGCTCTAAATGATTCTGAAAATTGCATTTACCGACGTGACAGTGGATGAACCGGAGCCAAAGTCAGGAAAAAATATGTGAAGGTTGTGTGACAGTTTTCCACAGTGTTTGTGAAGTCATGTGGTGCAAACTTCTCTAAATTCTCACACAGCAGTGATCAGACCTTCGCTGCTCTTTCTCTGTCTGCAGAAACAACAAACGCTGTGAGTCCCTGCAGGGAATTCCTCTCTCCGCCTGTGGTTTCTGCTTTATTCCAGCATCTCTGTAGTAAAAGCTCAGATCGATGTGTGCGCCGCTGCTGCAGCAACGTCACCTGTGCTTCTACTAAAAGCCTCGGCGTTTTCCCAGGAGTCACCTCACTGCAGAGGTAGAGGGGGGTGCGGGTGAGGGGGGGCCCCAAGGAATAACAAGGGATTCAAACCGGAAAAAAAGGGAATAATGTGTGAATCGATTAAAACTGTGGATCATCAGGGAAAAGAGAGAGAGAGAAGAAATGCCCAGGCCATAGGTGAGGAAAAAAATGATGTAATGACAGACTTGTACTCCAACGGATTCTTACATACGTCTAAATTGACCTTTAGAGAAGATGACTATTTGTAAACTGGATGACTTGGACTGAGAAAGACATGATTGAAAGAAAGACTGATGTGTGATGTGTGAAGTCCTACTTGAACATAACTGACCTGACTGCTGTATAAACTAAGTCAGTTCTGAGCCCAGTGATCAACCTGCCGTCTTCTTCTACAGCCTCACAGCTGACCATGAATAACCTCATCCACGTTTGTACACAATACACTGTATGGTGTATGGACCAGAACCTGGTTTACACATCTCAGCAGTCCGTAGATAAAAAAAAACAACAAAAAACACTGACTCAGTCGAACTGATCCTTAAATCAATCACGTCCACCACTCTGCCATCATCTTCCCAGATCCCAGACTAATCCATAAATAATTCATGCTACAGATTCCATTATGGGCTCATTGATATAAAAGCAGTGCGAGTGTGTGTCCGTCAAAAAACCAACGACCCGCTGCTCTCTGCCTGCTCCTGTTCTTTAATTGAGCTTTCAGGAGAAAATAAATAAAACAAAAGTTTTCATTTTTAATTTTTGCTTCTGTGAACGACAAACTCCAACTCAAGAAGAAGAAGGAGACGTTCCTGCAGCCTCTCGTACCTCCACCAGCCTTTACATTCTTTCTGAAGGAAACTGAACTCGGGGATTGAACCAGCATTGGCGGTTAATCATGACAGGAGAACCTTTGCCGTCAATAACAGTAAACCAAAAAAAAGGAGGATGGAGCTGAGGGCAGCAGAATAGAAATGTGATGGATTCCTCAGAGAAAGAGACGTCAGAGGTGATTTCTTCTTCTTGACCATGTCCGGCGTTTCTGGCCTCAGTTCATGCTCACACACACTCTGGGCTGAACAACAGCAGCAGCTCTGTGCCATCCATCCACTGTCTCCGGCTTTTATTATCTGCTGCTCTGATAGCAGCGCTGTCACACACAGGCATAAATTTTCAGACCATTTACTGGGAGGAGGCGGCGGCAGATAACTGGATGTAAAGAAAATCGTGGAGAGTAATTTGATCTCTGAGCTCATTAGTAAACAACATGTTGAATGTCTGACTTTTGTTTATCTCTACGCTGATGTTGGATATTTTTCATTATTTCCTGTTTAAGGTTCAAGGAGACACAAATAAACCTGTGTCACTGGGTAAAAGACACAAACGATAAAGGACGAAAAAGGACAGCGAAATGGAAAGAAGATGAACGGCAGGGAGACACTGCTGCCTCCTGTGGCCGATCGATGTCACTGAGGTAAATCTGAACTGTGAATCTCTGTAGTATTTGCTCTGTGCATCTACATCCTGGAATGAAAAGAATCTTTTTCTCTTTTTGACCCTGAGGAAACAAAGAGACGACACTGAGACGCTGCAGAGTTCTCTGGAGACCTGCGGACGGACAGACGTGAAGGACGGACTGGACCTGGATCAGTACAGCTCACATATCAGCCTGCCCACACACACACACACACACACACACACACACATACAATTTGTGTTGCTCCTGGTCTGGGTCTGGGTCTTGAAGGAATCTCTCTCTGGTTTTAAAACCACAGTGGGGCTTCAAGATACGAGCTCCCCGAAATATGAGTTTTCCAAATTACAAGTAAGAAACATTTGCAAGATTTTCAACCGAGCTCCATTTTTCCACTCGACACTGTCCGTCGCTGGGTTATTTTACCCATTTTCACAACAATAATATAAAATGTTTTCTTAATTATTATTATTTAATATTATCAATATATTTGTTTATATCTATATTTTTGATGTTTAGATGGGGGGGGGTAATTTAATTAATTAATAGTATATTTCTGGGGGCCTGGAAAGAATGGACACAGGAGTGCTGTTGTAGACTGGTATCTTGAAGCCCCTCTGTACTTGATTTGGGAAGTTCTGGTCTAGTCTGTGTCGGTTGGTTGTTCTCTGTCAGATAATGTGTTCAAAGGGAAGAAAAGTTGTAGTTCTTTATACGTTGTGATCATGAGACACAAACATTAAAAAAAAAAAAAACTTGTTTTTCTTGTACAGAAAAGAGCTGAGCCGCAGCAGCACCATCACAGCACGGAGACACAGTTAAAGAGAAGAAGAAGAAGAAGAAACAGCTCCACAGACGTCAGAGCGTCACTGAGGTTGGTTCCACTCAATCACTTCCTGTTTCTACAGCCCACCACAGACCACAGTCTCACACTGGGGTCTGTGGTGGATGTAGACTTATTTGGACTCCAGGGGGTCAAAGGTCACGATGTGGTGATATTCTGCTAAAAATCTACCTTTTTGAACGGTTAGGGACTCCAGGGGGTCAAAGGTCACGATGATATTCTGCCGAAAATCTACCTTTTTGAACGGTTAAAAACATTATTTAATTCTTTGTGTGTGTGTGTGTGCGTCTGTGTCTGTCTGTGTGTGAGTGTGTGTGTGAGTGTGTGTGTCCTGCAGCTCTGTCCGTCTGCTCTCTCTCTGACTGATCATCTGTGACACAGTGTGTTCTTCAGCTTTAGAAGGAGACATGTAGTGAGGAGGAGGAGGAGGAGGAGTGTGTCTGTGTGTGTGTGTGTGTGTGTGTGTGTGTGTCTGCCTGCCGGTGTGTGGTCATGGTGCAGGTTGTTAACCTCACATCTCCGTGCACTGACACATCAATTATTGTTATTAAAGGGCCGCAGTAATTTATTTATTTTCTGATTTCCCACAGGAAAAAGCCAGTACTAATGAGCCAGGTGCTCGTTCACTCGTGTGTTCGTGTGCGTGTGTGCGTGCATCCGCGCATCGACGGCCCAATCCGTTTTTTTTCATTTATTCACCTCGCCCCACAGAATTCAAATAGTAAGTTGGTAAACCCTGCCCACCCACTGCCAATCACATGAAGTGAAAAGTTCCCTTTGAACATCACCACTTGTCCTTGACGTTCAGCAACAGCGAACGTGTTGTAACGTCCACACACTGACGAACTGCTGACCTTTATCTGTCAGGCTACACCGCTAACCACTGAACCACTGTACAGGAGCATCTACAGAGCCACGTGGGACCAAGTGGCTTCACTTCATTTTGGTGTGCACACCAACAAAGACTGATGTCCGGTCTACATGCCGATGTGTCCCTGGGCCCCATCAGACCCTGCCACGAGGAGTCCCAGTCTGGGTCTGAGACTGCTGGACTAGGAGGAGATTTTGAGGTGAACCACAGACTCAGACACAAGGCTACGGCCTCATCACAACCAGTTTTTGGTCTTCGTCAGGACCAAGGTTTGGACTACACCAAGACTGGGTTCTGGTGTAAATCAGGACCAGGTTTACATTGTTGTCAGGACCAGGACTTGGTCTCCAGCAGGACAAGGTTCTGGTCCTAAAACCCTCCAGCACCCCAACCCCTTTGTGCCTCCTTCTTCACTCTGCTTTTTGTTAAACAACCTTTTTTTTTTTCCTTAACTTCTTCATACGTCACACACATGCACACTCTGACCGTGCGTGTAGACGCGCACACGTTGCGTGGGGGAATGTTGAGGGGGAGGATAAGATGGGGGAGGAGCAGCGCCTCCTTTTCTCCTCAGTCACCAAAGTAAACAGCGTTAACATGCAGCACGCGTTACTCTCGCGCGCGCGCACGCTCAAGGCTGCTTGCAGGAGCAATCGCGCACACGCTTCTTTCTCTATATATTTATTACTCCTGCGCGCGTGCCCGTGCGTGCTTGTGCGCGCACCAGCACAGCAGCAGGACACGCGTGATTCATACGCACCCCCTCATCATTAGCATTCACCTCCACGAACAGTGTGTTCACGCACAAATGAAAGATGAAGCCGCGTGTGCGTGTAGACCACGAGCGGTCGCGTCCACGGAGTGAAGGAAAGTAGCAGGAGAAATAGAAAAACACATGAATCTACCTGCGGTGAGGAGAAGCAGGAGAAGAGTAGCCGAGAGGAGCAGCAGGAGGAACCGCTTCATCCTGGTCCAGGTTTGATCGGTGATGTTCTGGATGTTCTCCGGTAAAACTGCTCCGGTGCTCCTGGTGTATCAGCACCGCTGCGGCGTGTTGGTGATGGAGAAAAGATCGGAAAACCGTGGACGGACGGACGGCAGGAGCAGCAGGAGGAGGAGGAGGAGGATGAAGATCAGAGTCCGTCTAGAGGAACCATGAGTGAATCCACTCTTCTTCATACAATGAGACAAACAACAGTAGAGTGAGAACCTGCTGTTTTCCCTCCGCGGCGGTGTCAGACGAACATTCCAGATTTTTATTCTTTTTTTTCAGCCGGATGTTCCAGATTATCGTCCACGAACACACTGAGACAGTGTTCTTGGAGGAGGAGGGAAACAAATGCGTTCAGAAGGAGCGAAGCTGTGGAGAGGATGAGCACGTTCTGCTCTCTCCCTCTGTCGGTATGCAGCGACGCACCGCAGCAGCGGCAGAAGCGCAGCAGCGGCAGAATTGAAGCAAAGCGACGCGGCGCGTGAGACGCGTTCCGTGATTGGGCGATCGGAGGCTGGGAGGAAAGAGTTACTGACCAATCGAAGGGTGCGAGGACAATGCACACGTATGTGAACGCGCACACTAGGATGTCCCGAAGAGAGAGGGAGAGAAAGAGAGAGAGAGGGAAAGAAAAAGAGAGAGAGCCGCGGTGCAGAGGTGGGCGGTGCCGCGTGTAAAGAGAATCTCGGTGTGATTTATAGACACTGCTGCTGCTGCTGCTGGTCCACTTACTGTCCCACACCAAAGTCAATAGAGAAAATGAGTGATTTTAACTCAGGATACCACCGGCTGGTTCACTGCTGCCTCAAGTGGTCGGTTCCTGTCACTGAGGCAACTTTGAACAAAGAATTTCAATGAGTGGAGTTATAAAATAATATAAAACATTTCAACATAAAAGCAATGTATGCTTCATGTATGTGAATTATCATTATTACTATCATTACAATGAAAAGAAAACAAAAAAAACCCACATCACACAGTTTTAACAACATTATTACTATCATTACAATGAAAAGACACTCATTACAGTATAATTAATACCGTCATAGAATCATCCTCATTTACTGTCTTCATCATCATCATTATCACCGCCATCGTCTTCATCATGTTTCTGAGTCTCTCTCAGTTTCAGGCCACGTGGGGGCAGCAGTGAGCTTCACCAGTGAAGGAGGGGCGTGGCTTCGGAGAGCTAACCACACCCTTACTGTAGATGTGTATTTCTGGGGGGAAATCCTCATCCACAGGTTTGTCCAAGCCCAGTGGTTGAAGTGTTAGTCTGCTGAAGTTATTTAAGATGCAACAACTGAAACAGAACTTTTTTTTTTTGGTGTTCTTACAAAACCAACTTGTTTTCCCGCTGAACATCAATAACATATGTTTGTAAATAGCTTTGATTTCTTATGACTGTGTGTATTTCACAAAAACTCGTGTCTCTTTGCCGTTCATTTAAATTCCCTTGTACATATTTTGTTTCTCAATTTCAGGAGCTTTTATTTTGTCATTTGTCTTTTTATTTTGACACTTTGACACCGGAGTGTCACTTCCTGGTCATCACGCTGTTAGCCTCGGACTGTGGAGGAGCTGCCGAGTTCAGGTAAAGTGATGCTGTTTGCTCTGTTTTTGTCGTGTAAATACGGAAAACAAACCACAGCAGATGTTTGT